TAAAACAATGGGGAGGGCTAGGTGGTGAGGGTTGGGGTTATTATTGAAGTTGAAGGGTAAAATTATTGGAGTTTAAAGTCGAGATGGAAAAATAAGTTTTAATTTTGTTTAAAAATAACATGTAAAATTTTTTGTGTAGAAGCTTCACCAATTGACGTGGTGATAATGTATCACACAATAATTTAATGTATCACACAATAATTTCTCCCAAAACACATAAAGAAAAAAGAAAAATGCTACTTATGCAAACTTGTTTTCTTGATGTATTCTCCTAAAAATGTACATGACAAATGCACGCACCATATAATTAACTATACTAAAGATTCCACATAATTATAGAGTGCCCAATGCTAGAATGCCACACAAATTGAAAGGAAAAATGGTTCCATAGCATTGTGCAAAAATAATAGTTTGACGGGTAGTGAACCCACACCCTTGCACCTAGACCTGTAATGGATCGGATTTTGATCAAAATCCGATGTAATTAATCGGAGATGGATTGGACATGCCATAGCATCAAACTTTGACATGTTTTGAAAATTCTATGAAAAAAAGAAAGAGTGCTGCTATTTCCACCCTCTTGTCCTATTTTCCCATCCATCATGTAAATTTGAAAAAACAAAATCTTATATTTCCACCCATCTACAAAATTAAATGAAAAAAAAGTTAATCCAAACTCTTTTGCAAGTCGCCTCAACAAAAACTAAAAAGAGCATTTCCACCGCACCTCCCCAGCCCTAGCAAAATGGGGCCTAGGCCCTTCAAGCCCTTTCCAGCAGTACCAAATAACTCAGAAAAGGCGTGGGCTCCACCAAGCCTTGGTAGGCCTAAAGGCAAAAACAGCTCGAGCTGTTGCCTGAGGGCTATGACATCAATGATGATGTTAGTAACAAAAAAAATTAAAAAAATCGACAAACATTCTGAAAAATACCAAAAATTTCAAAATATTTTTTTAATAAATACCTAGCCATATTCTTCACTTCCCACACCAAAACTCTATACAAATTCCTCTCCTCATATCTTATGTGAATAGTGGTTGCCCTTGGGTTGCCATGGTAATGGGTGAAAAACCAATAAAAATATTGTTAGGGTAGGCACTATTCATGTGAATAGTAACAACCCTTGCCTCCTCTTCCCTTTTGCCATGGCAAATGGGTGGAAATGCTCTAATTGGAGAAAATAAAACCCAAGAGTGAACTCCCACCCACACCCAATCCTCAGCAACCCTAGCCAGCCACCAAAACTCCTATCCAGCCCAATGAGTCGGTGACAACCCCCTTTACTTCATGCCACCGGCAAAGCCTCCTATTCTCTTTCTCTATATCTCCTTTTTTCTACCTCTTTCCCCTTGTTCTCTCTCTCTCTTGATTTCTCTACTTCCCTCTCTATCTCCCTCTTTCTTTCAAAGAAAAAGCCATATTCTCCGTCTCATTGTCTAGACATTACACATGGTCTAAAATCAAATGGTATTAAATCCAACAGCTACCAAAGCAAATTGGAAAGAAGTGTTGGGCGTCCATGAAAGAGAAAAGGTTGAGTATATTGGCTTGATAGTAGATCTGGATGCAAAATCAAGGGGAGAGATAAAAAGCGAGAAGGAGAGAGAAGAGGCTTTTCTGACGGCAAGGTGGAGAGGCTTATGCGACAACATGGTGGGGTTGTTGACAAAATTGGGTGGGTGTGAGTTTTGGTGGCTGTGTTTTTTTTTTTTTTTTCCAATTATAAGTTTTTATCTTTGTTGTAATTTAATTAAAGCTAATACTGTTAACAAGTTAGTAGAAGAATTTATTTCAGTCCTTAGAAATTATTTTACAAAAAGGTAAATTTGTGTTGCTCTCTCACTACACGCGGAGAGCCGTGTGTCACATCTAGGGTTTCTTCTTGTGTCCAGTCACCGTCTTCTCGTGCTCAGTCGTCGTCACCCTCTCTCTCCTAACTAGTTGTGCATAGTCATCTTCTCATGCTCAGTCGTCGTCATCGTATTCGATGCGTCATCCCACTCTTGTCATGTGCGTCTTATCACCCTCATCTCCTCAATCTGCCCTTGTCTACGTCCTCAATTTGGTAGAACGTCAACTTCTATGTGGTTTGTCTCCTTGTGTTTGGGCCTTGTCTCCTCTGGTCCCTACCATGTTTGTGCCCTTTTTTGATGATGATACCTTGGTTTCTAGGGTAGACTTCATGGTTCCTAAGCGCTTGTGCACTGAGGCCTATTCTGACAAGCCTATGGAGACTGATGTTAGATATATGCCCTAGAAGCCAATATAAAATGGATAATTCTAAAGAAATAATATATAATAATCAAATGGGCAAGAACGTTGCTTTAGATACATAACGAACACAAAGTAACAAGTCCATGGATTAAGATATAAATGGAAAGTGGTCTAAAGAAGTTAAATGCACAAGACCTTTCCATACATATAAATATCGTATCCTAAAATGTTCCTGGTCATAGGATCACTAATTGGACAATGGTGACCCGCAAAGACTGGTACACATTATGTCTGCTCAATTAGGAGGATAACTAGTCTCAAGTCCTTCGTGTAGAGACGCTGAGACAAATGTGTAGGTGCTCTATAGAAGATGGAGTCCACTGAATGCGATCAACTCTAGAGTTCTTGTATAGAAGTCTTACTCACAAGTGTCAAACAAAGAATTCTAAGTTGTGATAATGCAAATTAATCCTTAGACCTGAGACATCATAGTTGTCTTGTGTATATGTTGTTTCTCTTTGAGAGCACTATATGATTGTATCAAAATGATATGACTTAAAAGTGTTCCTCAGGATTCTCAGCGTGTACGCAGAGACATGTGAATGTACAACAAGAAATCTCTACTCTTAATAAGAAGAGAGAATACTCTAAAGATATGATTCGTGAATCTTTGGCCAAAGTATTGGATTGAAATTGAAACAAAAACGTTTGCCATTTCATCAAATTGAATCATATAATCTAGAGATGTCATATTAGGGATTTTGACACAGGTTTACCATATCCCGATAATATGATATAGAGTATTGAATTAGAGAAGGATCAAATTGCATTGTAATCACAAGCTGACTAGGTTCTCTAAATGAATTCTTTTTAGCTTGGGTAGCCATGACATACTGCTAGGTGTCACTCATGGCTTGTGGAAGCCCTGTAATGACTAATTATAATTAGCCTTCGCCAAAAAGGAGAATTGTATGGAGGGATACAATTCACACTTGATTCAAAGTGAATTATTCATACCCACTGCCTCGCTAATTAGAACCTATAAGATTGCACACCGAAAATGAATCGATTCGGAAATTATGAAGAGAATGAATGATTTTGTCACTTGGTCAAAGTCAATGTGAAAGTCAAAGGTCAAAGTCAAAAGTCAAAGGTCAAACGATTGACCTGACACTTGACACGGTCAACTAAGGATGACTAGGACCAACACTCTGTTCACCCGTTTAAGGTTTGCTCCTGTGATAAAAGGGTAAAGTTCCCCATTGCCTCGAAAACCATTGACTGGTCAAGAAGTCAACTTTCTTTAGTATGCGAGCGTGTCGCTGCTAGCAATAAAAATCCTAGAGGACTTCTTTAAAAATGGATAACTTGCGCCCCAAGTTACTGATTTCTAAACGAGCGATTGTGAATTTGGGTGAATATCTCCCAAGTAAGTTCTTTTCCTGCCTCAGACTAGTGAGGACTTCACAATTTATCTCAATATAAAATTAGTAGTTCTGGCCAGAATAGATGATAATAAAGTGGACTGTTCTTAGCAAGGAAGAGAAGAACTAGATTTTTCCTGCAGAATTGGATATGAATCTCCTTAGAAAATTAATTTTTCCTAGGAGACTCTACAGTTCTTTCTTGTTCCGGGGTGGTATAGCTTCTATGATGGATTTTGCTTTATTTTTGTCAACCTCTATGCCCCTTTGGTGAACCAAGAAACCTAAGAAATTTCCTGCTTGAACTCCAAAAACACATTTCTTGGGATTCATTTTTAACTTGTGTTGTCTCATTCTTAGGAATGCCTTTTTTAGATTTGACACATGCTCTCCTTCTTTCGGGGATTTAATCACTACATCATCTATGTACACCTCTAGAGAATGTCTTATCATATCATGAAAAACAGAATTCATTTCTCTTTGACAAGTGGCTCCTGCATTTCTTAAGCCAAAAGGCATTACAGTGTATTCAAAAGCACCTATGTGCCCTGGGCACATGAAGGCTGTCTTATGGATATCTTCTTCTGCTACCATAATCTGATTTTAACCTACATTCCCATCCATAAAAGATAGCATTTGGTTATGAGCAGCTCCATCTACTAGCATATCTACCATTGACATAGGATATTCATCATTGGGAGATGCTTCATTCAAATTTCTATAATCCACATAGATCCTAACTGCCCTTGTTTTTCTCTTCAGAACTAGCACAATATTGGCTAGCCAATCGGCATAAATGGCCAGTCTGATGAATCCCGCCTTGAGCAATCTTTCTATTTCTTCCTTGACTTTTAGTTCTATTTCCATAGACATTTTTCTTTTGGCCTGTTTGACTGGAAGATAGCCTTCTTTGATTGGCAACTTGTGTTCCACCAGTTTTCTGTCTAGTCCAGGCATCTCATGATAATGCAAAGCAAAACAATCTCAAAAATCATGCAAAAGTGCAATGATTTCACTCCTGAGTGGTTCTTTCAACAGTCCACTAATGAAAGTTGGTCTTGGATCCTCTTCTGTCCCTAAGTTTATCTCCTGTAATGGATCTTCCACTTCTGGCAAAGAGTCATCCAGTGCTGCTGGTGCAAAATCTAGTACTTCCTCTTGTAAACTCTCTTCTTCTTGTTCTTCCGTGCTCTCATGGGTGAATTTTGCCATATTAATGGCTGGATTCTGCATGAAGAGTCTTTTTTCCTCCCAATATATCAACAATCTTTTTGTAATGGATCGGATTGTTGTAGCTCGATCCTTTTCCTGTTGATTGGGATTAAACATCAGAGTTCTGAAGGTTTAGAACAAAAGGTCTATTCTAGTCTTCTAGAGAACTAGCTAAACCATCTTCAATAAGTCTCCGGGCCGTGACACCATGGGGGCGGCCGTTCTGGTTGACTCCAAGGAAAGTGAAAGGTCCAAGGTCATTATGATAATAACTTGCCTCAAAACACATGGCAGAGGTCAGAAATGGCTGTAGATCAGCCTCTACTATCTCCATGTAACCCTCTTCATTCCATAGGGCTAGTTGCTGATGCAGAGTGGAAGGAACACAAAAGCTTTGGTGAATCCAGTCCCTGCCAAGTAATGCATTGTAAGTGGTAGAAGTGGTGTCTACCACAAAGAATGCAATCTTTAGCTCTTTGGTTCCAATTATGACATCCACATCCAGGATTCCATGAGTTTTAGTGATACCACTAGCAAAGTTGGTGACAGTTAAGCGTGTTGGAATTAAATCATTCTCTGTTATGCCCATCTTGCTCAGCAATCTGTGGGGTAAAAGATTAATGGATGTACCTCTATCTACCATCACCTTGGGAATAGGAATACCCCTAAAGTTTGCTATTATGAATAGAGGTCTGAGGTGATTGGCCAACTCCTTGGTTGGTTTGGAGAAACATAGTTGTTGTGCAGCCAGTTTTATGGCCGTTCCGCCGGCCTTGGCAGTAGGTGTTTGCTATTCTGGCACCTCATCTACCTCTGCTAGCCTACACTCAAAGCTTTCCTGAGAAAACACGTCTCCTTCTAGAGTGCTTTCTTGTCCTTCTACCGCTTTGAACTTCTCTGTTAAGATAAAAACCATGTTGATGCCTAGATCATCCTGCAACAGGCTTTCGAATTCTGCACCGAAAGCCTCAGTTTCCTCATCTAGTTCTCCATTATATTCAATCTGTTCTTCCCCATATTCCTCTGTCCAATCCTCTTGTTCTCCTGTTTCGAGGAGCCCAGTTTGGTCATCTGCAGACAGTTCATAGTCTAACTGTTCCTCTTCATACTCTTTAGTCCAGTCTTCTTGTCCTTCAACTAGAATAGGTTTGGATTCTCCTTGTACTTATGAAGGTTCAAGCTGATTGACTGAAGATGAGGCAAGATGAGTGGAAGATCTGCCTGGAGATTCTGCTTTTATCAGCTTTTGTGGCTGACGGGTTGTTTGTTCTGCCTGAGGAGTTATTTCTGGATTTTTTCCTCTCTTGGCAGAACTGGTCTCTGGAAGTACCTGCGTGTCATCCCTGTTCTTGAGGAAGGTGCAGTATTGTCTTTGAACCCTCCTCTTCTAAGTTCTGGTCAACTCTAGAGTTGGTTTGCCTCTTTTTCCAACAGAATACCATATGCCTTCAATGATGGTTGCCAAAGGTTTGTCATTTCCAAGCATCCTGATTGGTATCTCTTTCTTTCGCGGCTCTGCCATTCTTTTGTTGCGCTAAGCAGGCCTTAGATAGTCCCTCTGTCTAGCTCTGTTTTTAGATAGAGCCGGGCCCAGACCTTGTTGGTATGATGTTCCAATCCTGTCAAAAATGCTAGGTGTGGGCTGATTCTGTCTGTCCAGAATCACTTCTAGCTCACTCTCACACTTGCACTTGTTGCACAATACTACCTCAGCCGAGATAGTTTCCTTGGGCCTCTAACTAGCCTCCCTCGTGACATTTCTGCCCTTACTAGAGCTAACTTCTGTTGCGGGTTTGTTTCTCTTCTGTTCTGGCCAATTTAAGTTAACCATGTTGACTTGAGGCTGGGGAAAGGGATCTGTTGTAACTGATGGAGGTTTCTCTGCCAGCTTTAACCTTCCTGTTGTTATTCCCTCCTATATGACATCCCTGAAAACAATACAACTGTTGGTGGAATGGTTCTAAGAGTTGTGTCATCTGCAATATTATCTGCCTTTGAGTTCCTCCGGCTTGGGCAACCTTTGGGGTGTCTCTATTAGTTTTTGTAGTAGCATCTCATCAAACAGAGCATCAACCTTGATTAGATCGAAGGAATAGACCTTGTTCTGGGTTGGTTTGTTTGGAACAAACCCTCATGTGAATGGTGGTGGCTTTGTAAGGGCTTTGCAGCTGATTGGATGTTTTAACTTTGCCATTTCTGCCACTGCAATTTCTCTTTCCTCCGAGCCTTCTGTGTCTTCTTCTGATTCCACCTCAACCAGATGGACTGAAGAGGAAGGGGTCTTATATATGTGCCTTTGGAAGAGTTCCTCTTCTGTTGTTCTTCCTTGAGCAGCTCCTCATATTTAGATGCTTTGTCTGCCAGTTCTGCCAGATCTCCAAACAGCATCCCCTCAAATCTTTCTCTCAGAGAGATTTTAAGGGCAGTTTGAGCCATCTAGATGAAGTGCCTTTCTTCCATAGGGATCCGGCATTTCATCTTAAGTTTTCTGAACCTGGTTATGAAGTCTTGGGCAGGCTCATCTTTACTCTGTTTGAGGGCAGCAAGATCACTGATGGTGACTTTTGGCTGGATCCTGAAATAGTAGTCATGGAAAATATTTTCCATTTGTTCCTAGGTTTGAACAGAATTAGCTAGTAGGCTGGTGTACTAGGTGAAAGCTTGTCCACAGAGAGAATTCCCAAAAAGCCTTAGCTTTAACAGAGCGTTATTTTCTATGGCTATGCGCTGGACAGAGAACCTGCCTATGTGCTTAATTGATGAAGCATGGGGATCTTCTCCGTTGAACAAGGTAAAGTTTAGGACCTTAAAACACGGGGATAGAGGTATCTGATCAATGTAAGCTGAATATGGCTTTCTGTAGGTGGGCCTTTCTCCTCTTCTGGCTTCTGGCTCCATCATCTCCTTGATCATTCTCTGTAGTGCCCTCATGTCATTCAAAGCGTTGACAGAGATGCAGATTTCGTCCTTGTTCTGGCTGGGCGTGGTCAATCATGTGCTCCATCCTGTATGGCCTGCAGAACTTCCTCCCTGTATTCTTCCTTTTCTTCAAAAGCTGGATAATTCCTCCAGTTTGCCCCAGGTCTGTTCCTGTCATTGTTGGCAAAGGGGTTGATTCCCCTTCTGCTTCTTTTGCCTCTCGCCGGAGGAGGGAATGGATTGGGATCCATCCTTCTGGGTCTGTAGGGTAGCACAGCTGGTGCCTCAGTAGAAGTGCCATGGGTTGATCACGTGGGGCCACAGACCGTGGAATAGGCGGAGGTTCTGGCTTATTATGTTGGATATAAACCGGTACAGGGCCTTCTGGCTGGACTGGGTCCTCATGTTCTTGGGTGGGAATGGCTCGTCCCCTTTGTCCAGCTTGGATCTCTCCATGCCCCGGTATTCCAGCCATCTGTGCTATGAGAGGGTTCTCCTGGTATGGCCATGCCAATCCTGGTGGAGGGCCATAAGGGAGGTCTAGCTGCTGGATTACAACATCTGGGTTGTGCAAAGGACTATGATTTCATAGTAGAATTCTTTTGACAGCTGGGTTGTGTGGAAGTGTTTTCGTTGGAGGTCTTTCTGTCAGTGTTGTTTTGCTTTGCTTTTGTACTAGTATAACATGACTGTATCAAACTCTCTTGTTAGTCCATGACATGTGTAGTACTCTTTCCTACCCGCTTGGAAGATTTTAACGAGGCCACTAAATTAGGTCGTTCTATGTACTCTATTTCAGTTCTATGAATGAAATCCATTTATCAAAAAAAGGTAAATTTGTCTTTAAACTTTTGAAGATAAGGTAGGTGGGGAAATAGGACATGGGAGTAGAAATAGCAACACTAAAACAAAAGATTAAAAAGTCACAAAATCTAAAGGTCTTTTGATAACCATTTCATTTTCGCTTTAAAACATAAATAAATAAAAACAATTGAAAACTGGAAAACATGTTTGGTAACATTTTTCATTTTTTGATTTCAAAATTACCTTATTTAAAAATAAAAAAAAACTTGAAAGTGTTTTTAGTATTCTTTTTTTTTTTTTGCCCTCTTTTCTCATTCTCCAATTTTAAATCACCACCCACACATTGCATTCCAGTTACAAAAATTCAGTATTTGTGCTCTAGACTTGGACCCATCTGCTTTACTATTGCATTCGGCCGCATACCTTGTCCAATCATTGGGACTTTCAGATAAAATATTCACCAAATTTTTTTGTGATTCCAAAAAATTCACTAAAAAATATTACGAACTCTTTGTGACATGAACTTTTATTCTATGACCTCAAATTCATAATTTGATTCTGAAAAAATTTATATTTTTCAAATTTCACATAAAATTAAAACTGAAAAATAAAACCAATTACCAAAAAAATTTAAACTTTTTTCAATTTTAAGTTTTTTTTGAAAAAAAAATAAAATTGGTTACTGAATAAGTTTCATGTTTTCAGTTTTTTTTTAAAATGAAATCTGAAACTAGATGCATGCCTTAAGGTTGAGAAAAAAGACTACTAGAAAGGCAACTCCTGTCTCCACTCCTATGCCCGCTAACCCTAACGAACCGAACACCCCCCAAGCCGCCTTACCATCCACCATTTTTCTCTCTATTACTTGCTCTGTCTCTATTTGAGATGGAGTTTTTTTTCTTTTGTTGTTGTTGTTGAAGTAAGAAGTAGTATAAGAGTGACTTGATGCCTGTCTTTGTTCATTCTCTACGGCGGGGCTGTAGACACCAACAATTCAGCATAAAAGCTAAAAGGCTCCTTTATCAAACCTTCCCCCTTTTCATAATAATCCTCTCTTTGTCTGTCATTCTCAATACCCCCTCCCTCGAGAGTGGGGTTTTTTTTTTAACTTCTATTTTTTATTTAAACAATAACAATTTGTTACTTTGAAACAAATTATATGATAAAAAATTAATTATAAACTTATCTTAACTAGTCAACTGGCCTAATTCATGTTGTGAATGTCTTAACCGTTGGTAAAATTTTATAACTCTGGCGTTATGGAAAGATAAATTGAACCCTCTCCGAGTAAAAAATTGGTTAGGTGGATGTACGTGTTTGTAGGCATTGATAATTGGTTTTAAGTGAATTAAGGAAATTAAGTAAACGTAGTGTAAAGAAGTAACAAATTAATAGTGACAAGCACACAATAATTAGCTAGGCTTTGGATTTAGGTCTGCAAATGCCAAGTTTAGGTGGCAACAATGCAAAGGCTTTGGATTTAGGTATGCTAATTTGGGTACATTGAAAATTGGCTACAGCTGGAGATTGGGTGAAGTTTGTTCGTGGAGCAAGGAAAAAAAAACGGAGATCCAATCAGGGCTAGATGGAGGAAGCTGAAGCGTTCAATTAAATAACTTAAAAAAGAAAAAGACAAAAAAAGGTTGGAAAGATTTAACCATCCAAAACCCTCCGAAAACGGTGCCCCTCCATCCCCTTTCTTTAGAAATTTGTTTACATATATTTATAATAACAAATTAAAATAAAGAAAAAAGAAAAAAAAAAATAATATAGCCACACCACTCCATGTCCTCTCGTATTCCGCCACGTGTTATTCTCCTAACAGAACCGTACGGTTACCTTTTTTCCTACCCCAGCTGGCCTCTCTCTCTCTCTCTCTCTCTGTCTCGCTCCGTATCTGCAAACTGTCCGTACGCAAAC